TTTTGCCTTTTTTTTTAAGTGCATCATATTAGATCACTTTTAGGTAACTGTTACCTACATTACCCTAACTCAGAACTTGACTCTACTGGCTAAGAAGAACCATCCCCATTTTCTCTTTGTTACAGCAGTACTTGGAGTTTTGTTCTAAGTGGCAAGGGATGCTTGTGAGCCCTTTCCACGGGCACACAAGCCCTTTGAAAGGATGGCTTAGGGGGAGGAATAAGGCAGTGGGACTGGACCTCAGCCGGAACTGAGCCCTGCCAGCTGGCTTTCTCTTCTGTCTTGGGTAATTTAGGTTACGCTGCCTGAGCATGAGCAATCCATTCCTGGCAATCCTGGGTGAAAATGCTAGCCAGAGCCTATTCCCCATTATTTTACATAGGAGAAATCATAATATATTATGTGTCAGTATGCAATTCCCCCTTTATCAATTTTTCTAAGGCAGAAGTTGGCAAATTATGGCTCTCGGGCCAAATCCAGTCCACCGTCTCTGTTTTTGTAAATAAACCTGTATCAGAACATAACACCCATATGTTTACTTAGCACTCCTGGTGGGTTTTCCTGCTTTTGCTACTACAGTGGCAGAGTTGAGTAGCTGCAATAGAGAACTTATGGCTGAAAAGTCTAAGTTTTTACAGAAAAATCTATAAACCCTTGTTCTAAAATATGACTAAAGTGTGGTAAAATGTCTTACATGTAGTTAACAACTATCACATTAAGAATGTAAAATGTCTACAACATTGGATTACTCAGTAATGAATGTGATTTCAACATACATTTTTTTTTTTTTGGACTCACCAAGAACAGCTGAGTCCACGTCCTCTTTGTTGCTGGTTTTCCCCAACCTCTACAGAAGTTTCTGACATTCTACCAATTGTATTGTAACTTGACACCTTCCTCTCACACATTTTATTAAAGATGTATTACATTTTGGATGAGGTCATAAGAATTTTTTTCTTTTATAAGTAAAAAGCAAAAAATGTTTGATTTAGAAATAAACATTACCTATACTGTTTGGATATTAAAAGCCGAAAGGTACTCAACTAGGAAAATGTCAACTAGGCATACCTTTGGTGGCATTTGCTTATATTTCTTTTCTTATTTGCTCAGTGTTCTCTTAGAAAATATGGGAACCAGACCTCCTCACAGGGCTCTGTGAAGACTAGGTCAGATGTATCTTTCCTTACTTATTCTGGGAATATGTTAGCTGTTGGTTCCCATATTCTTTTCTACCTGTTGCTTAATTAGAGGAGCAAATTATCACAACTACAAAATATTTTCAGGAGTTTTTCCAAATTTACAGTATTTCTGCTTATGTAGAGTGGCCCAGAGGTTCAAGCATAACTTTGCAGCCAAGGAGAAACGAGGTCTGTGTATTCTGGTAAGAGGTACCAGCGATGGTAACAGACATCCCTGAATCTCAGTGCAGGTTTATTTCTTAGGCACCTCAGGGTCTAGTGTCAGCTGGTGGGACCAGGAGTGGTGGCTTTGCTCCATGGAGTGTTTTAGGGACCTGGGCTCATTTCATTTAGTGATTTCACCACCTGCAGGAGGTAAGAGTTTCCCATTGGGCCTCTGAGCCCACAGTCAAGGGAGGGGAGGGAGCATTGGGAATGGTTCAGAAGGTCTCAGGATGAGAATGCAGGCGACATACCCACTTTCATCTGTGTGGCCAGAACTCCATCACAGGGCCCCACCTAACTGCAAGGGAGGCCGGGAAACGCATCCCAGCTGTGTGTCCAGAAAGAAGGAATGCATTTGATGAGTGCCTAGCCAGTCTCTGCCACAGACTGCCCATACCTTTCTGGATGACTTTGGAGGACAAACTCTTACCATATATAAATTGCACAGGTACATCAATAGTCTGAGAACCTATCACTAAGAGGTACCCATGGAAAAAGCACTTGGAGACCAGTAATGCAGATTTGGAACCATTAATCGATATACTTATTTGAATATACTTAAAAATGAGCCTGAGATCTAAATCTGTTTTCTACATGTTGTACACCATGTATGTATTTTGTTGTTATAAAATCACAGACCTATCACAAAGTGAGTTTAGAAATATGTACACAATGTTGTATGCCATGACATTTTCATTCCCAAAATGGTCTAGTGGACTCATTTTTATTTTGCTATCCTATAAAATCAGGAGTCATACACAGTATTAAGCAGAATTGTTTATCCATGCTGCCAGGCGAGCATTTGTTGAAACACTACCACTGTTATTTAATCCAAAGTGCACCTTTTACAATGAACCACATCAGGAGCGTTTTCAATTTTTCAATAAAACCTAAGCACATCTTTTTTTTCTTTAAAGTTACTCATTTTAAATGATGATTATATGAATATTTTTAGGATTGCAATCACTATGAAATGAAGGACAAAATTTATCATACCAAAATAGAAATTTAATTTAAAGTAGAAAGAACTTGATTGCAGGATTTAGTAGACTAGAAAAAAAATGTATAAGAGGATATTCAAGAATACTTAAAAACAAAACAAAACACTGTAGAACAGTTTTACAATACACTTGGAAAAAATACAATTGTTTGTTGATTTTGTAAAGATCATATTTGAGCCAGTTTCAAGAAAGATCAAACTTTTGTAAGGCTGAAAAAGCACATTAAAGCAAATAAACCTTTCAGTCATTCCATGGAGAAATTAACTTAAAAGAAAATCTTTATTCAGCATAAAGTCAGTAAAGGTTTATTTGAGATAGAAGTTGCTCTTGACCGTATTGGGATGCAGGGGTCAAAGTCAAGACTGTACATGGGCATATGTGATTAAAAATACTCCCTTCACTTTTCTTGGTACTCTTGGCATTTCCTACTACCTGTCAATTTGTCCTTGACTATATTTGAGGCAGAAAAACAATTCGAGTTGTCAAGGGTGGTTTTCCAATCAGCTCTTCCTTATTTTTTCCCCCAGTGCTTCTTTGTTATATTAGATTTCAAATTTACTATTCATGAAACACATTTTAATCAGTGACCATATCAGACAAATGGAAGCTAAGTGCTGGTTAGCATGTTGAAAACAAACACGAGGGTTCTCATTAATGTCGCTGTCTGAATAATTAGCTGAGCATCGTGTACTGAGCAACGGTGAAAGCATGCTGGCTTCTCACTGGAGCGACAGGGTGACAGCCACGTCTCGGAGTGTGGCCATTAGTGTGCCCCACCATCAATGTCATGTTACTGTGTCAAATTAGTTAGTGTCCCCGTAGGAGAGACACCGGACCCTACAAATTATCCTCCCACATCTCTCCAAACTGTGTTTGCAAAACCTGTGATGAAGTGTGAGCAAATTATTAGCATGGCTCATAAATTAAGTAGTTTACAGTCTTATAACATTTTACAAGTAGATAATAAAGGGTAGAAAAGTTTTCTGATTGCTTTGCCCTGATGTTAAAACTGTGATTTGCCGTCTTTGCCTTGAGAAGCCCACAGCTGATAGTTGTTGTTTTTTTTTTTTAAGAGGAACAAATACATGGAGTGTCAGAACAAATATTTGGAAAATGTGGACTTTAAATGGAAGCAAGTGTAAATCTATTGAAAACAATGTAATTAACTTTGTTATCTCATTGCACTGATAAGTCTGTGACAATGGTCTCCTCTCTGTGGTGGCAGTTGCTCATTAATGAGTTCACCAATTAAGTTTGAGTGATTACAGCCTTTGCCAACTGAAATTCTCTTAAAAAATGTTTTTGATGCATTCTTCTCAGAGTCTTAAGCTGCCCTGTTGAAGGGGAGTAATGCTAACACAGCAGGTTAAACTCACACAAGAGTGAAAATTCTTAAGCAGTAACATGTTTGGCAAACAGTCTATCCTCACGCAGATAACTAATATCTAGAAAACGTAGCGCGGACTAATCTGTCCTGAGTTAATCTCTTATCAAGAAGCAGTACCCACTGGAAGCCACCTGACTCCTCTGAGCTCTGGTAGACAGGCAGCCCACATAGTTTCCGGAGATACGTGACTATTCAAATCACAAAACTTCATCAGCTTCAACTTCTGTCTGGTTAGAAGTAGAAAACACAAAGGTCCACGGAGTTTTGCCAGTTTCCTTTTGAAAGGGAGCACCGCACGCGCACAAGAGAGAGCCCATGCTTTCTGCTCATTCTGTAGTTGCCTCTCCCCGTGTCCCTTCTGTCATCTTGAGGGCAGTACAGGAGGCATTCTCATCTCAAGCATCTATGCGGAAAAAAGCCTGCAGAATCTTGCTACTGAAGACTATTCATAAAAACTTCCTAGAGCTGTACTGGAGGATGAGTTGACTTATCTGTCAGCAACTTCAGTTTACTTGGAACTGGATTTGGTAAATATTCTAAGAACCCAGCTGAGCCATGGGAGCTCTCTGTCTCAGCACATGAGCACGTGTGTTGCTGTGAGAAGGCTGGGTCACAACCTCCTTCTGCATTTTAAATGCAACTGGAGAGAAACTATAAGCTGTGGCAAGTAAGATGTTGTATTTGGCCAGCAGGGGAGAGACCCTATCTTTTTTTCATGTACACCTATCTAATATGTATCGGTGCGTGTGCACATGTGTGCGTATGTTTTCTTCCATCTCTCCCACTGGACACGACAACCCAAAGCAACATCATCCTGTGGACTCGTAGGTCATCCTGTCCATACTTCTCAGAATAAGTTAACATGGTAATGATGAGAATTTGTCCTAGAAAATAAGAGATGCTGCAAGTTAAAGGATCCAAACTTCCTAAATGAACGCCGGTGCCTTCAGGAGTGGCGATTTTACTTTGCTATTTAACATTTCCCATCTTTCCACTATCATTGTGTATAATACTGTAATTTGGATTATGAGCTAATGAAATGCTGATCTAAGGGAAAGGACAAAACAGACGCCTAGATGCGTGATTACACATTGAATGTAAAAGCAGTGTGTCAACTGGGAATATCTGAGGCTCCAGTGAAAAAGTCCCATTTTTGCAGTATCATAATTTGCTCCTGCAATTAACCTCTCCTATTTCTTTTGCTTCCAGTGTCCCTGTGTGTGTTGCAGTCCTGTGGCATTATGCATGCCCCCAACCAGTGACCCCCCAGGCTTTTTATGGCTGTGAGACACGTTAAAAGTTCAGGGTAAGTGGCAAACCGCAATAATACTGCATATCATTTAAAAACTGCCATCCACCTTTGTAGGTGACACAATGGTGGATATAGTAATCCCCTGGAGGATAATACAACACCCTGTTATCAAGCAGGAATTCCAAAGCTAGCGGGAATAGATTTGTTGTTCTCCAGGCTAGCTTTATGCTTTTCCAAGAGTAGATCCTTAACGTGGATTATATTTGTGGAAAGGTGATGTAATGCAGACAAAGTAGGCCAACTTTGTCTTTAAAGGTCCACATAGTAGATACTGTCAACCTCATGGCCCATACAGTCTCTGTTACAACTAGTCAACTGTGTTGATGTAGTGCAGAATTAGCCAAAGGTAATATATCAATGTATGGTTGTGGCTATTGCAATAAAACTTTATTTACAAAAACTGGCAGTGGGCCATATTGGCCTGAAGGCCATAGCTTGCTGATGCCTGATCTAAACATAAAATGAGGAACCTATAAACAGGATACCTCACTGGATTGCAGTCTCTCTGATCTTGAGTAACCCATTTATCAAGAGGAAGCAGGAATAAAAAAATACCTCTCCTTACCACCAGTCAGGGTTCAGTTGTAAGGATGAAACAAAATAGAAGGTATATCAAAGTGCTGAAAATTTCGAAACTCCTTGCAAATGCAATGGATGGCTCTGTACAGTCATTCTGTTCATGTGGCAGTGTACCTTCTTCACCTCTTTAATCACATTGGGCTTTCATGAGCTAAATGAGTGTGGGGAAAAGATCTTTTATTTTCTAAGTAATGTGTTTGTATGTTCTATTTTACAGTTAATGTACAAGCTTTTGAAATGTCTTCTTAGTATCAAATATGGATAAAGGGATATATATGGGTAGATTATGGCAGGCTAAAGATCAATGATTACATTTCCTTTAATCATCAGATTCTGAAAGTGTTTTAAGATCTTCCACTTTTAACATAGGCCTTAATAAATACTAATGCTTTGGATGTCTACAAGTATGTTTGAATTTCACAAGTCTTGCATGTCAAAACAGAGATAGGCTCAGCAAACATGCTTCCCGGGCTAGTGGTACTAATTAAGGAGAGTCACACTTAAGCAAACAGCTTGGTGAATAGAGCAGTAATCAGAATCTCAATTCATGAATTTTCTAGTTTTTTTTTCTCACTTAAAATAGGATCGTCTTGAAACATGTTTTCATGTCACTATATCATTTAAGTTTTTTCTAGTAACAAAGATGTGACTATGTAAGTTAAGAAGTTAGTTGTGTATTCTCTATCATGAAAGTTGTCTAGAAGAGCGTAGTATGTGCCCTTGATCTTCCATCTTTCTGCTTTGTTTGCCTGTGTAAGTGTTGCTTCATTTTCAGGGTCACATAATGGCTGCTGGCTCTCCAGCCATTGTATCTACATCCTAAAAGGAAGAGGCACAATTACAAAGAAAAGAGTAGTTCTCCCACATGAGGCCACTTTAAAGAACTTTCCCTGAAGTTTTACTCATTGATTTCTTTGCACCACCTCTCTAACATAAGGGCGTCTGGGAAATGTAACCTTAGTCTTAAGAAATCTGATATCCCAGATAAACTCCAGATTGTAGTAGAAATGAAGAAAAGGGGAACAGTTACTGAGCAGCAATTGTGGTTATACAAAATAAAGGTATCAATTTTTCTTACATGTTTAATGTTTATTTCAATGAATGCTTTCTGACTTCTGTTAACTTATGGGTATAACGTCTTACTTGAGTTTTATGTGTTTAAATTTCAGCTTATTTAATTCTCAGCAGAGATGCATACTTCAATAAATATTTTAGGACCACAGTATTCTTACTTAAAGTGCCATGGTAGATCTGAGAAATTTCTTTCTCAAGAGAGCTATAAAATAAAATACAAACTCCTGAATTTTCTAATGTATATTTTCTCCCCTGGACATAAGCTTTTTGTTAAAGCTTGAGTACCGGCACAAGATCCTAGCAGCCTGCAGGCTCCCACCTAATTCTGTTCTTCCTGATATGCACAGGGGATGTTGCTGATGGCTTCACACTGTCCCTCTGAGACAGAACGGAGCTCTCCGCCCTGCATCTGTGCTTTGCTGGTCCCTGTATCTCTGCTAAAAGCTCTTGAAGGATGGGGAGACAAGGGTGTCACCCCTGCCCAAGATCTCTGTTCCAGATTGACCTGTATGTTATTGTGAAAATGTCCATCTCAGGATGAGTAGAATGAGATTGCCCTATGCTTTCAGAATACAGTTACTGCCCATACCAGCCTGTGATAGATGCTCAGGAAATACGGTAGTTGATAAATTCCCAAACATTTATTTGAATACCTGCTATGGGTATAGGCGAGTAATGTGGTTAAGTATGTCTGCTTTGAAGTTAGATCAGCCTAGAATCAAATTCCCTGTTTCCCACTTATTGGCTCAGTGACAGTAGGTGACCAACTTAACCTTCCTGGGCCATGATGGCCTCATCTGGGAAGTGGGGATAGAAATAGGAGCTGTGAAGAGCTAGTGAGACGATGCTTGCCAAGAGCTTAGCATGGATCCTGGTGGGTAATAAATGTCAGCATTGCCTCAGACACCCCAGGTAACAGGGTGGAAATGCTTGTCTTTGAGGAGTTTTTACCTCCTATAACTGGTAGACCGTGGATATTTCAATCCAGGGCTTTCCCCCTGGTATTCTCTTGTAAGCTGAAGTGGCACCTTAGGAGGTGCCTTTGATGCCCGTCTTTAAGGACATTGTGGCCCCAAACACAGCTGGACAGCCCTGCTCACCAAACTCAGATCACCGGGTCCCGATTTGATGATTTCACCTGAGAGGTGTGCTGTAGTTCTTCTTTTATTCCGTTTTTCTACTTACTCAGGCAATGGGCCTGCCTAGCAAGCAGAATTCGCTAACTGCTTTCAGGTTAGTATTGCTGATGATAATCTGAAACCGTAGGGTTTCACTCATGCTGGCTGATGCTACCTGATGTCTATCACGCCCCGCTGCATCCCGGTCCCTACCTCTGTGCTGAGTCTGCGGAGCTGGCCGTGACCCCCTACAGATCTTCCCGGGAATGGCCCTCAGGGAGTTGTCATCTGCGCACAGAGAGCAGCAGAGGCCGTCAGCAGTGTTCACGGATGGCCCAGTCGGCTGTGTGTCCTAAAGTTGAAAAGTGGTCACAGCCACTTGACTGTGGCCACCTGTTGAGTAGTTGACTCTGTGGAAACAGTGGCTTGAATATCTTGCCTGTTCAAGATTCTCGAAAACTTTGAGCTTTTGCTGTGTGGTTTCAAATACTCTGTTTAGACACTGTTACTGTGCTTAGGTGCCACAAAATCTCCCTTGCCTCTGGACCACGGTGCTCTTGGTCAGAATAATTCCTATGTTTACAGGGCTCACCCTTTCTCCTCCCTCATTACTCCGTTCAAGAATCTCTCTCATCCCATATTGCTCAGTTCAGAGAACCACCCTGGCCACCCACATTAAAGAAGAATGCCCTTCCCATTCTTCTCAGTCCAAGTCTCCTGTTGGTTCCCCTTATTATAGCTTCTGACACTTTCTGAATACCCCTGTTTACCTGGTAATAAGCAGGGGACAGGTCTTTCTGATTCAGTGTGGCTTCCTTGTGGCTGACAGCACCTAGGGTAGGGTGGGCTCATGTGTACTTGGTGTTCATAGAATCAGTCAGAGTACATGTGGTGATTTCCCTGTGAATGTCTGTATTTTCATTGTACCTAAGAGGGCTGCATCTAGATGAGAGAGTAAGAGAAAAAATAAGACCTCATATATCACCTTTATTATAGGAGTAGAATACTGCCCTGGGGTTTTCTCTGAGAAGTTTCCACCATCCCCTGCACAAGTCGTTGATATTCTGTGTGTCCCATCCAGAAAGGGTTGTATATTGTCTTCCCAAGGAAAACAGTCATTTGCCCTGTGGGCCTGAAGTGTGTTGTAGGTGGTACAGGTTAATTAAGGACATTGGGTTCAGAGTTCACATCCCAGCAGTCATATTCATTGACTCTTTGTCCTCGGACAAACTACTCTCCCCGTTTGGGCCTCAGTTTACTTGCCTGAGGCAGGGGTAATAGCATTACCCATCTCATGGTGTTACTGCAAGGATTCCATGAGATGATTTGTGTATAGAGCACAGGGCCTGGAACAGAAAGAACAATGAGGCTGTTGATTTAGAAAGATCAACCAGTCTCAGGAGCCTCACTGACGATACTCATGTGGCACTTCCCTGCCGTCTTCATGTTCAAGGTGGTAAAAATGGTAAAGAACCTGACTCCATATTATACTTGTTATGTTTCATGCACTGAAATAACTAAGAAGTACAAAACGAGCAAGCAATGGGACGATCTCTTTTATATTCGTTGCTGACATGTTGACTGTTGGATGTTTATGCCCTGCTCCAGATAATAGGCACTATCAACCTCCAGTGTGGGGATGGCTCAGTGATCAGAGCCAGATCCACCTTGATAAAACCTTGGAAATTGGGAGTTCAAGATGCTACACTCCTCTCAGACTACTTGGCTGCTGGAAATATGGTCTGTTCTTAAGTTAATCAGGGTTGGTTTGCTCACCTGCCCCATGATAGACAGAGTCTGCAGAATCTAACTTTAAAAAAATTACCCCTTGATAATGTCTGCCGTGAGAATTTATGTGATTCTTTTTTAAAAATAAAAACACAAATCTATGCAGATTGAAAGGAACTGGATATAAATATCTTTTGTCATCAGCTCCAGTTTCTTTCAGCTGCTTAAGGAAGATGGTCTGTGATTGTCACTATGCTGTGTGGGTCTGTCTGCCTGGCATGTGTGTTTGTCATGTGAAAGCTGAAGCACAGAGAGGACAAGTCCCTAAAAAGTCCCACAACTTTTTGGTGATAAAAGATGAAGTACATTAGGTGACATACCTTTATTTACAGGATTTACAGAATAGGTAGGGTTATCTAAGAAATGGAAAGAGCCATTAATGCTGGTAGCTGATAACTTTATACCCTCTGAACTTGTAAAACAACATGATTAAAA